CCGGGTTTTTTAATGATCTTAACCAGCGTAATGCAGCATGGTCTGTCCTGATGGTAAACCTGGCTATATGTAAGGTTGGAAATATGTCAGACTCTTTACTATAGCAAGGAGTTCCCTTCGAGTTACACAGTAGATCCTGTCTGGTCTACTCAGGACCCTACTGAAGTAGGCCACCACATGTTCGTTTTCACCCACTTTCTGAGACAACACTCCTCCAATTCTGACATTACTAGCATCACAATCCAGTATGTACGGCAGTGACAGATCTGGAACCTTTAAAAGTGGAGCTGAGGCCAATTTTTCTTTCAATGTCTTGAAAGCATGCTGGCAAGAAACTGTCCATTTAAACTTCTGGCCTTTTTTGGTCAAATCATGTAGTGGAGAAGCTATAGTTGCAAAGTCCTTCACAAACTTCCGGTGTACAGAGTCCCAAGGAACTTCTTAACTCTCCCATATTGTCTGGTATTGGCCAATCATGTACTGCTTTCACCTTGTCAGGATCAGTTCACACACCATGCTCACTTACAATGTGACCCATGTAAAGCATCTCTTTCTGGAACAAGTGGCATTTCTTTGGATGGAGTTTATGGTTTGCTGCTTTCAAACACTTGAATACTTCCTCATCAAATGTTAATGCAAACACAATGACATCATCCAGGTACACTAGAGCTATCCTCCATTGTAGGCCTTCTAGTACTCTTTCCATCAGCCTCTCAAATGTTGCTGGAGCATTAATTAGCCCGAATGGCATCACTCTGTATTGCCAGAGACCTTGGCCATAACTAAATGCTGTCTTGGGTCTATCCGCTTCAGCCATTTTTACTTGATGGAAACCTGACTTTAAGTCCAGAGTTGAAAACCATCTGGCTCCACTTAGGGCACCAAGAGTATCATTAATTCTTGGCAGTGGGTATGAGTCTTTTTTGGTTATGCTGTTAAGAGCACTGAAGTCCACACAGCAACGTTGGGTTCCATCCTTCTTCTGTACTAATACAACAGGAGCTGACCAGGGACTGATTTCTCGACTATCCCTTCTTTAATTAGCTATTCTCCTTGGAGGGATCTTTATTGGATTG